TACGTAATGTCTGAGGAACAAGTGAACCATGAGAGAATGCCAACAGGAGTTGTGGGCTGTGCTTGACAAATGTTTTTATAGATGATCTGCATGTGTGTGTGTGTATGTGGGAAAAGAGGTGAGGACTCAGGGCTGGAAAGGATGCTGAGTCCTAGAGAGGTAGGAAGGAAGGAAAGAAGGAAGGAAGGAAGGATGGAAGGCAGGCTGAAAGGAGAGAGAGATGGATGAAGAGGAGAAGTCAGGAAGAGTGAGAGATGGCTCCCGACATCTACTGAGTGTGGATTCCGTCACCCACAGAATCGCACTAAATGCCCAGCAGTCCTGGGAGCTGGGCTCTGTCAGCAGCTATCTCTATTTTATGGTGAGGCTGAGGATCTCGCCCACCCCAGCACATACCCCACAATCCATGCTCTTTTTGTGCTCTACTTCAGCCACCCACCCCCATGGCACACTCCAGACGTCATCACTCAGAACCATGACCCAGAAATCTCCCTTAATCAGGTGCCCCTCTCGCCATTAGCCTAATCCCCATCTGTCCTTCTCAATCAAGCTCCTTGAGATGGCAGCTGTCACTCATTGTCCTGGCTTCCTCAGCCCCTCAGGCATGGCTGTCATTCTGGGCATTGCCTCCTCCCCAATCCTCCAATCATGCTGATTCTACCTCCCCAACACTTCTTGGCCCTGCCCCTCCCCTCAAACCATGTTTCCCCTGCCCTGGTTTAGCCCTTTCTGACTCTTGCCTGGGTGACCGCAGCAGCCTTCCCTCTGCTCTCCCTGCCTCCAGGCTTGTTTCTCTCATGACCACTCTCCTGCCATCACCAGAGGGAGCTAAAGGCATTTGGGAAGGGAGGCTCCAGCCCCAGGGCCAGGTCCTGCCTCTGCTCCCACCAGCCAGGATTTGCCCCTGGTGCTCCTTCCACCAGGAAGGCCCGCCTCTCTTCTTTGTAGACAACTCCATCGCCTCCAAGACTTAACTCAGGTCTCTGTCTCTGTGGAAGACATTCATGAGTTGGTCCTTTCCCCTGGCCTCTGACAGCAGTGCCTTGTGTAAACCTCCACTTTAGGACTCTCTACCTCACACTGAAATGCTTCGTTCTTACATCCACCACCCCATTGGCTGGGGCTCCTCTTGGGCAGAGAGTGGATCCTGTTCACCTTTATATACTTTGTGTCAGGCTGTGTCCTAACAGATGCGAAATGTGGCCCACTGAGATTTGCAAAGCAGAAGGGGAGCAGACCTGGACACCAGGACATAGGTACTTGAACAGAGTGACTGCCTCACTTCTCCTGTTTTCACAGAGGAAATGGTGAATCCAGGGGAAGGAGAAGCCCAGGAAAGAGGCGGGGAGGGGGGATTTAGGTGTTGCCCCTGAATACCCACCCCAGCCTGCGGTCCCCTTCTCCCCAGCCTCTCCTTCCTTTCTCTCTTTCTGGGCCTCTTCCTTTGTGGTGGTGGGCAAAGCAGTAGAGGGTGGGAGATGGGCCCAGGATAAATGATCAGTTAAGAGTGGGGGTGCTTTCACCTGTACGCATCTCTGAGGAAGCCCCAGGCAATGATGGCCTCATCTTGGCATACAGTAGGTGCTTGATAAGTGTGAGATCCCTTTCCTTCACCTCTCTGACCAGCAGGTAGAAGTCAGCTGGAGCACTAATAGTGCCAGGCCTCTGCAGCAGCCGGACAGCACTAGCTGAGTGCTCACACTCTTCCAGGAATAGATGGATTCCCTAAGAAATGCTCCCAACCTTTCGGTTTCCAAGCACCTTTTTCTCACGTCCTCTAGTGTGCCCCATGTTTATCTCACTAGATGAACTGCACTTGCTAAATAAGAATTAGTTAATATGGAGAAAATGTCTTTCAGAACAAGGCCACCTGACAACACAGATATTCCGACTTGGGGACATTTTGATGTGGTCTAAAAAGCAAATCGTTAAATGGTCTGCTTCTTTGAAAACGAAGTTATGTGACCAGTAGACATTATTGCCCAAGCCCTGGGCTTCACCCAGGGTGAAGCATAAGGTGAGGTCAGGAATATCTGTTACAGCCTTTATTGGGTTAAAAAACAAGGACTCGACAAAAACAACAAAAACCCAAACCTAATGTTTCTCGGTTTTGCTTCTTCCATTTTGATATGGTGCTATCTCAGGCCAGTTCAACAGAGTCTTGGAGATCAAAATGTCCCCATTACCAATTTGGACACCTCAAAGTGTCCTGATTCAACAGAAAAATGGCTCGTTGTGTATGTTTCCAATGAGCATTCACCAGGCAATGCTGGGGGCTGCCAGCTAGTGTCAACATTCCAAAGAGAGAAATGGAAACAGTTCTCCCATTTGGGCTGGGATTATATCAATGCAGTGTGGCAATACTGTGGCAATTCACGCAGATCAGAAACCTGGCTAGACTTAGATATGGCTGTGATTAATAAAAAATGGGAAAATGAATTAATTATTATTTAATAAGTGCAGTTTGGCAGGCAAAATCTTTCAAATCATGGGGCCCATTTGAGGAAGTCAGAAAAAAGTCCTCGGAAGCAGAGAAGTTAGGAACTACTGTCCGTGGAATCAATCTGCTCCTGAAATGCTGTCTGGCCGCTGCCTGCTGCCTGACACTGTGGTTGCTCTAGCTGATTTCTCTGCCCACAGGCCAGGGAGCACGCAGCACGCACAGCATTGTGCGAGGAACTTGTACATGACTTTCGCAACCAGCTGGGCAGGTGTTAGCAAACCCCCAGCCCCCTTGTACAGATGGGGAAACAGAGCCTCAAGAGCTACAGAACCTGCTCGAGTTTGGAAGTGGGTCTGATTCACACTGTCTCAGGGGGAATGTAGCCCAAGAGGACCCCCATATGTGGCGTCTCCTGTTTATCCATCTTTGTGGGAGAGGCAGCAAGGGACTTCTAGCCAGGCTGGCTTGGGAGTTGCCCTGGGCAGGGATAGGACAACGGGTCTTGGGGTTTGCTGTTGACGTCTCTGTCTGCCTTACAGCTCCTCTTTCTTCTTCACTTTGTTTTTACATATGGGGATCTGCACCGAGGGCTGGGCTGGCCGCTATCCCTTCAGGTGGTGGGGCCTCTCCTCCCAGGCTTTCATTTCCAGAGGCTTCCTGGAGGTGGATAGTGCATGCTTCCTATGCCCACCCCCCCTTTCCCATTCATCCTGTCTCCTGCATGCCTCTCAGAGTCCAGGTGTGGGTTTTAGTGGAAAGAACATGCAGACTTTGAGCCAGAGGGCCCTGGGTGCACATTCCAGCTCTGTCACTGATTGAGTGGCCTTAGATCAGCTGTTAAGCTTCTCTGACTCCAGTTTCCTCATATGGAGACAAGGGACTATCAGTAATAACAAGTCATGAGATCTACCTCACTGCCAGAAGGAGAAATACCTGGCGGGTCCCAGCAAACATTCATTCCCTTCTCTCTGGGACAGTGCATCAGTGGATGACCCAGGCAGGAAGGGAGGCCTGGCCTGCTCAGTGTGGTGGGGCCAGGGGTGGCCGGGTGTCTTCAGCCATTTACTGGGGATGTGTGGGACCTAGAGCAGCTAATCTGATTGCAGCCAAACCTTGTTACTGCACTCCTGCCCAGAATGTCATTTAAAAAGCACTTAGGGCTCTCCCCGAAACACATTTACGCTGAGGTCCCAGGGGTGGGACTGCACAGAAAACAGAGCAACTGGAGAAGCCCCTTTCCCTCCCAGGGGGCTGAGGATGTGCTGGGGGCTGGGGGTTGCGGGAGGGGGAGGAGAGCTCACTCCCCACTGTGTTCTGCCTCCAGGGGGCATTCACACCAGCAAGAGCATAATTACGATGCTTCCTGTTTAAACAGCCTGGCCTTGTGTAGTGGCAGGAGCCGCAGCAAGGCTGCACCTCAGAAGACTAGGGCTGCAGGCGATTTCTGGACTGTGGGACATGGGGAGGATCCTGACACTCTGGACCTCAGTTTCCTCATTTGTCACATGAGGACAAATGGCCTTGCCCACGCCATCAAGCAGCAGGAGGATTACAGTCAACGGTTTGATGGAACTCTGTGGTTCTCAGGGGCTGCATCAGCAGCATCCGGGAACTTGTTAGAAATTCATGTTTTCAGACCCCACTCCAGACCTATAAAACCAGATGCTCTGCGAGTGGGGCCAGCAATCTGTCTTTTGACCAGCCCCCCAGTCATTCCGATGCCGGCTCAAGGCTGAGAAGCAGTGGTCTAAGCCTTGCCATGAGCTTCGCTTAGCTAAGTGGCCCAGTGGAGTTGGGCCTCCCTCCTTGCTCTAGTGGAATACTGCACGGTTGGGGTTGGCCATGGGACAAGAGTGCAAGAACAGTTGCTTTACTTGTGAACAGCGAAGGCTCAGGAAAAGAGGCTCAAGGATAAGAACATCACCTTTCATGTCATACTTTTGTTTCCCAAACATTTTTTTTTTTGTGAGGAAGATCAGCCCTGAGCTAACATCCGTGCCAATCCTCCTCATTTTTGCTGAGGAAGACTGGCCCTGGGCTAACATCTGTGCCTATCTTCCTCCACTTTATATGGGAGGCCTCCACAGCATGGCCTGACAAGCGGTGCGTCGGTGCGCGCCCGGGACCTGAACCCGGGCCGCCAGCAGCGGAGCGCGCGCACTTAACCACTACGCCACGGGGCCAGCCCCTCCCAAACATTTTTACATGCACTGACTCGTTGGGACAGCATCAAGTAATATTCAAAGAACAGCCCACTATAACTATAATTATTAATGATAAAGACAAACAATGTTCTGAAGAAAGCTCATGCATGCATATTATCTCCACAAATAGTCTGTGGGCTCCTTGAGGACAGAGGACACATCTTCCTTTGTTACCATATTCCATTATCCCAAATCTCCCCATCTGCATCCCTTACATCCCACTATGGGCCAGAGTCCATGACCTTTGAGCCTTGGCTTGCCAGGCACACCGGGGGCATGCACCCACAGGCAGGACCCCAGTCCTCTTCAGGAGGGTGGATCTGCCCCCCAGCCTCCCCCTCCTTCATACACACCTGTAGGTGTCAGTGGCTGGAACCTTCCAGGTCTGGATGCCCTTCAGGGGGCCCTCGCTTCCTACCACCACGCTCAGGTTGGAGTTTCGGTAGGCGTTGTTGCACTGGGCCTGTGTAGGGCCGTGGGGCCCGCTGGCCCCGCATGTGGTGAAGAGCCAGTGAACTACGGCATAAGAGGAAAGGCAGTCACTCACTTGGCCTGGCTATCCCTCCATCATGGGCCTCCCTGGGCTGCTTCTGAGCCATTTGCTCCATGGCCCCAAACCCATGTTCCAAGATGGCACCAAGGTTGGGGCAAGAAAAACCAAAGAGTCATTCAAACTGGAAACTTCGGTTGAGAATCTACTATGTGCTGGGCCCTGGATCAGATATGAAGGGAAAGACATAGATGGAGCAGACTTGGATCCTGGCTTTAAGAAGCTCACAGAGCACTATGGGAGATCAACAAAGATGCAACCAACTGTAATGCAGGGCAGTGAAACAAAAGCCCTAGGATGGATGGCTAACACTGCACTGTGAGAGTTCTGAGGAGGCAGAGATGACCTCTTTCCAGTGGGACAGACACAGGCAGCAGCTGGGCCCTCTCCTGGTTTCTCATGGTGTCCAGTGCAGTGCTGGGCAAACAACAGGCATTCAATCTGTGCTATCGTGACTGCATTTAATCTGCTCCCAAAGGTTTGACATCTGCATATAGGATCCTCTTAGCTTGGGGAAGATCAAAAGAGTAAACTGGACACAGAGTTAGCTCCATGACCCTGCATTGGCCCAGGGCCCCAGGACAGTAGTGGGAGCAGGAAGCCTTGTACTCCTGGCTCAAGTCTTTGTCTATCTGTTAGGCCCTCAACAGGGCTCAGCCTCTGTATTCACCACCATTAGGGTTTGAAACACAATGAAAGCAGCTTTCAGGCTCCCTGCATAACAGAGAATGTAAAAAATGGGGAAGCAGCTCACATTCGTCTTGGCTTTCCTGCCGCCACTTCCTGGTGCTCTGCCCTCACCCAGAGCACCCAATGTCCTTAGGTGGCCCTCTGCGGGTGCCTCAGGAACACTCTGCACACCCCATCCCTCCATCACCGCTGGGCCATTTCCTTTCAAACTTTCTTTGAGCCAGGCTAGACCTTGGGGAGTTGTCCGATTTCATGCTGGCCAGAATTCTAACATTTTTACAACCTGCAAAAACTTTAAAAAAATGTGTTCTTGATAAATTACTTTTACTTAAGATACAAAAATCTCATTATAAGATTGCAGAAATTATTTCTCTTTAAAGAGATTAAGTCGAATTCTATCTACAGAAAATAATGGAAAAATTAATTTGGGTGTACATAGCTTTGTTCATTAAAATGTTAAAGTGAAATGTTTTGAAGACTTTCAACTAATTTGATGATGCAAGTATGAAAGACAGTTGCTAATTATAAGCCATCAGATTGAAATTATGCTGGGCAGTTTTGATACTCTGAAAACTGGGCCAGTTGTGATGGGCTTCCGTGACACTGTCCTGGCCCCGAGCTCAGGAGGCTGAAGTTCTAGTTGGGGTCCCAAGACATACAGCTACTCAACACTGAGTACTCAACACTTTTCTAGGCTTTTTCCAAATGAAGAGCTTGATTTCTATTTGGTTTCTGAAGGTCATTTCAAGGGCAAGAAGGTGATGAATCCATTCCTCTTCGGTGTGAATTGCTGACTGTTAATTTTCTGATCTATTTGTACTACAAAGAGTTAACCTGTTAATTCAGAGGACTGACTTTTTACTGAAGGCACTGTAACAGAGCTGTTTTGGCCTGTTGCCTGTAACCCTCTCCAGTGCCCACATCATATGTGTGGGCTGTGCCAGAGGTGAAAGGGAAAGGACACGGGCTTTGAAATCAGCAGGAACACCTGGGTTTGGGTGCAGCCTCATTGCTTATTGGTTGTAGAACCTTGATAGAGTTCCTTCATGTGTAATAGGGGCTGGATTTGCATGAGGATTAAAGCAAGCAAGGGGTATGAAAGGTCATTATAAAGCCCAAAATTCTAAAAATCTGAGTTGTGTCAATGACTCCTGCCTACCCCCAAGATGTGCTGCTCCTGACAACGGGAAATGTGGCCAGGGGAGTTTCTGTGAAACAGATCCCTTGTCAGCAGGACCTAGGAATTTAAACTCATTGAGTTGGGGATGAGGATTGGGGCAGGGAGAAAAAGAAGAACTCAGAATGGGAGTTGAAAAATCCACTCTTCCCGTGATCTCTAGCTCCTTGAAGCCTATTCTTCAGGTCCAGTCTGTGCCTACATCAAGCAGCTTGGGTTTGGGGGCAGCAATATAAGAGTTTATTTAGTTAATTTAGTCCTGGAAATGAAAGAAAAAAATATGTATATACATGCACACACACACACACACACACACGCACACACACACACACACACATATATATACATTTTATTTTTCTCAAAATAAGGGAGAGAAAGAGAGCTAAAGGTATGGGCTTGGCATCCTACTTGAGCATCTCACCTTCAGCCCAGGTTAACATTGTTCTGAAAGTTCTGAGACATTCCCAGACATGCTGAGCTTCTACTTCTTGGCCAGGTGGGGCATTTGGTGAGGTAGGAAGAGGGTCATGAGCTTTGGATCCAGGTGGGTCAACTTTTCTCATCCTAGATTTGCCCCTGACTAGCTGCGTGACCTCAGGTAAATTATATACCCTCTCTGAGCCTCGGTTTCTTAATCTGAACAAGTGGAGATAATAATGTAGTAGATAATGACCTAAGCAAAGTGCTTAGAATAACATTTGACATTAGAGATGCATAATGAATATAGTTAAGAAAGTGTGTAACTTCCTGTTCAATTTCTGATCATCAGAAGCAGAGACACCCCAATCTCAAGATTTATGTTCTCATTCCACAAAGGAGGGACTCTAGGGCTGTTTCTCAATAAAGGGACCAGTATTTTCCCAACTCAGTGGACATATATTAGTCTTAGGTGGTTTCTATGCACAAAATTTTGTTTTTATTTTCAACAATTTCTGATGGAAAGGTCCAGAGAGGGAATCTTTCTAAAGTGGATTCCATGGGAACAGAGGATTTGCCATCCCAGGTCAGACCCGTGATTTGTCCAGCCAGAATTCTGTTGCTCCCAGCAGCCTTTGAGACATGGTGATCCTCCCTACTCCCTCGGATGACCCTCATAAATCTGCCCAGAGTTGTTTGGAATCAATTTATGTTTCCCACCAGCACCACCTCTTGGGGGTCGGAGGTTTCTGAGTTTATTGCCCATTGTGCAAAGTCTGTCCTTTTTATTATGTGTGTAGGCTTGTCTTGTTCATCCTATTGGTTCTCTGTTCACTCTCCCTGGAATCTCATAGACATCACAGAATGTCATGGCAAGATGGGGCCTTGGAGATCACTGAATTCTCTGTTTCCCAAACCTTCAGAGGACCTTTAAGAATACAGATTCTAGGACCTTAGAGATTCAGATTCAGTAGATCCTAGTTTGAGGTGGGGGTGGGTGCAATATACGAATTATATAAAAACCTTCCCAGAATCAACTAGATTTGTGAACTAGTCCCACCTACTTTGTTGTCCAGATGAAGAAAGAACATTCTAGAGAAGGGAACTGACTTTTCTGAGTAAATCAGCATTGGGGAAGGAACCAAAATTGGGGGTTCCTCCTCAGTCCAAGGATTCTGCAGTGGTGATCAAGCCCTTCCCAGCTTTCTGCCCTGAAGACTTCCAACCTTTTTAGATTGTTCCTGCATGAGCCCCTAATCTCATATCCTTCTCAGAAGCTTCTTTAATGCTAGAATCTGTTTTTTTGAGATGACGTCACCAGAACTGTGGATTCCTGTAGATTTGTGTAAGGGGACAATCGCTATTCTGCCTTATTTCTAGTGTCCCTCTGAAGGTGCCCAACACAGTGTTGGCCTCCCTCAGCTGAGCACTGGGCTGAGGCTTGCTGGGAACAGATTATAATAATTTCCAGATCCTTACCTGAGAGGTGGGCTATTGCCCTGAGACTTGAATTGTTGTGGGCCTAGGAAGGCCCTACAGGAGGCATCTGGGAACAGGGGACCCTGGGAGCAGAAAGGGTCTGGCAGGACTTCAGGCCTAGTAGGCATGAGATCAGCTCTAAGCTAAGGCAGGTAGAGTTAGAACCACGATAGGAAAGGCAAAGGCTAGGCTGATTTTCAGAAGTATCTGGGGTAGAAGGCATTGCGCACAACTTTGTAGATCAAAGCAGTCAGGTTCAGTACCTGGGAGGCAAGAGAATTAGCCACAGTGGTTCCAGAGGGCAGGAGAAGCCAAAGTGAGCTTTGATCCCCAGGTAGAAGCTATTCGTTTCCTGAGTTGTCTTATGCTTCCTTCTGGGTGGAGTGGGGAGCCCTAAACTCAGACACCTGAGAGGTAAATTCCACCCACTAAGGGAGCAGCCTCTCAATATTTATTGTGCACTTAATATGAGTCAGGCACTGTGCTTTCATATATACATCCAGTGCCTGTGAAAATGCGTCTCAGTCCTGAAGGTATCCCCTTTAAAAACCAGCAAATTCAAGTTCAGAGAAGCCGAGTGACCAGCCTGCAGTTCTGAGTGGGTAATTGGTCAAGCCAGGAATTAAACACAGATCTTCTGAGCCGAGGTTCAAAGCTTGAAAAGGTGCCAGGATCACCAGGAAATCTGCATGGAACCTTCCTGTGAGTCTGGGGTTTTTTTTTTCCTTTTAAATCCATGAGCCTAGGGCTCATTTAAAGTCAGGCCCAGAGAGTAGGCAGGCCACCATGAGGGAACAGGTGCGAGTCTGGTCAGGGTACCATGGTAGGTGGACCTCAGCCCCAGCAAGTCCCACAGTGGCACCCACAGTAGTTCAGCCTAGCAGAGTGTGGGCTGTAGGGCACAAGCCAGGGAAAGCAGATGCTAGCCTCAGGACTCTGGTCCCCAGAGGCCATGGGGAGCCAGGAGGTGTCAAAAGGGAAATCCAGTAACTGGAATGTTTATGAGGTCAGGAAGCAGAGATATAAGAGAGAGGGAGTGGGTCATTGGCCACAAGGCAAAACCTTGGCTTTTGAAAAGAAGATCAAGGTCACAGTGAGACCCGCAGTGAGGTGGGTTTGATGCTAAACTGCCAACCCGAGAGTACAAGCGTCCTCATATTTCCCCAGCTGAGAGTCTACACTGGTCCCTGAGGTTCTGTGGAG